TACAAGCAAAATAACCTTACTGATATGCGCTGTACAAGCAAAATAACCCTACTGAAATACTAGAAACAACCTTATCTTGGATATTCATGCATGAGATAAGATTAACTCCCTTTTAACCTATAGACTATTATATTCTTTACTTATTTTAATTTAATCTTCACTTTTTATTGAAATAAATTACTTATTTTTTATTTTGACCAACAACAAAAAAAATTCATATGTAAACTATTTAAATGTAACCAAAAACGCACTTATTTCGTTACATAATATGACAACCTAAAGAAATTGTTTCTTGACATTGAATAAAAAAATAATTTATGCATTTATTATTTTATGTTTAAACAAGGTGATAGAATATCATTTTACCTTTCTTGTCTCCAAAACAAAATAATCTATGCACAAAATAAATTTGTTTCGTATTCTAGAAATTAATAACTTGATCTCATCAATCTTATCTTAGTTTCGAGAATGATATAAAATATCTCCTTGGTAATTAACTCGTGTGGGCCATCGTACGTATAATTAATTAATATATTTTCTTGTTGAAGGTGTGTGATACATGGGATAATCCGCAGAGTTGATAGAATGTATAGAATGAAAGGAAGGCAGCGTGTTAGCATTGTGATGCGCGAGTGACGAAGGCATGTGATGCCTGATTCACTTGATGGCAACATTACATGGGCAAAATTTGGGGACGAAAGTTGGTTGGCATCAGTTTGAGGCATTGGTACGGGCACGGGTGTGTGACAGTAAGTGAGCTAGCTCTCTAGCTGATTTCATTGTTGAATTCAATTGGAAAAAAAAAGAAGCACAAATGTCACATGACAATTGTTGGAGGCAATTTTGATGAGTGCCTGAAAATGTGACAATTTTGACAAAAGTGGGGCTAAAAGTGTGATAAACTACCCTAACAGTTGGGGGGGGGGTGTCAACTACATATACGAATTTTTGGCTTATAAACGTTCGAGTGTTGAGGCAACAGTAGACTGTGTTGACCCTTCACAAATCTTGTACTAGTCTTCTTTATTTTAGAGAAATAAAGTGGGGAAAATTTCTGTAATTTTGTTTTGTCTTAATTTCCTTCAATATTTCCACCATATGCTCCATCAATTTTTTCATGATATCATAATGGAAGCACAATTGTGTAGAAAATTGGCCAACTGGGACGAGAAATTTTAGTGCCATCTCAAGTTGTGGCCAAAATTCGAAACAGCATCGTGAAAAATTGGTATCAGAGCCAGGTTCGAACAAGTTGGTCTAACCAGGTACATTTTACACAATTGCCAATAAAAATAGGAAGATAAATGCTAATCTGAATCTTAAGGATTGGCTTGGTATTGTGGAGGACCCTATTGTAGGAAGATGAGTTTGTTTTCAGGCTAGAATTGTGACTTCGGAGAGGCAGCATAAATGAGTTGAATGATTAAGGCAGTAAGGATGATTTGTGAAGGACGTGAAGTTTTCACAAGTGCATTGTAGGCTTGTTGATGCTTCGTTGAATCAAGTGGAAGAATAAAGAAAGATGGTTTATATAACTTTATAATACTTTCGACGAAATATAATTTTTATGTTTATCTGTTTCTTATCATTATATAATTATTTTGATGAAATATAATTACATACGTTTTTATTATACTTTTGGGACTGATAGTGTAATTGAAAAGGGAATAACAGTGGCTTAGCTCGTGTTCAATATTAGCTTGTGTCAAGTCGAGTGGGCCCACAAAGCACTCATTAAAAAAAAAAAAACAAAAAAAATTGAAACCTCCTCTATGTTTTGGGCTTGGGATTGATTAATTTTCACTAAGGCGAAGTTAAATTTATACAGGAACAAGTTATTATGTATATAATATTTTTTTCCAAGCTAACATTTCTTTATAGTATATACATCATGCTTTGTGCTCTAACTTTGCATCTACCAGACCTGTGACTATAAATTTGAATTGTTCTAGCGGTTTGTTTTTTAGTTCATCATTTATTGTTTGAAACTATTGTATCCAATTTATCTTTTTTAAGTCAAACCAACTCAATTGAATGCGTCCTCCCATGGCCCCATGCCCATGGTCATTGTCCAACTCATCAAGAATTGAAATGTTAGTTAAGCCACTAAAATCGTGATAAGATAACGGAGTAGGTTTGTGAATTTTTATTCTTGATTGGTTCGATCATTGACTCATTCCTAAATGAGTTGGAGCGACCTATGATCCCGAATCGAGCCACATATCTATGCAACGAGCTAGCTGGAGCTTGGTTCACCTCACACGTGGTGGGTCAAATTGAGCAGCTCAGCACGACTCATTTAACATTTCAGTGCATCTCATACTATTGCAAGGACAACATTTTTACATTTTGAGAAAAGTGTTTAGCTTGTCCATTCTATTATGATTGAACAAATTGTTTTCTTCTACTTTTAAAAAAGAATATATTTAACTCATGTACTAGAATAGATATGGCAAGTTTGGAAAATGAGGTGAATAAATGTGTAATACTTGAGAATTCTCAAAACGTGTGAATAAAAAATATTTTAAATGTTTATAAATAGTTTATAAAAGTTGGGATCCGCTTTAATGGGATATGCAGAAGCATGTTATCCATTTGATCCACATAAAGTCGAGAAACTGCAATACCATAGAGATTTGTGAAGTAATCTTTGACAGTAAAATCCTCAAATCATTTTGAAATTATTACAATTAATGAAGTAGGTCGAGAATATATATGGTTGAGGAACATGACCCATCATATCTAAACATCATTCGGTTTAACTTCAATAAAAGATAGTCCAACAATCTTGTATGAAGATAATGTAGCTTATATTGCACAACTCAAAGAAGATTCTATCAAACGTGATAGAATGAAACATATTTCTCTAAATTTCTTTCATATACACAAGTTTCAAAAGAATAGCAATACCGATATCCAACAAATTCCCTCAAGTGACAAAGTAGCAAATTTATTCGCAAAAGTATTGTCAACATCTATATTCAAGAAATTGATTCACAAGATTGGAATACGTCGATTAAAAGATTTTCAATGATTAACATCAAAAGGAGTAGCTGTACTCTTTTTTTCGCTTAGGTTTTATCTCACTGAATTTTCCTAACAAAGTTTTAATAAGGCATCATTTTTTAATACTCCAAAAAATAATTGTACTTTTTTTTTTCTTTCGTTTGATTTTTTGTCCCACTGAATTTTTTATCAAATGAGGATCCTGAGGGGTAGTTCAGTGGTCAGACCTTGGTTTGCTCTTTAATGGCCACCGGTTCGAGTCCCCTTAGAACCATTGAGGTGAGTACGCGGTTGTAAATTTCAGGGTTCTATAAGATTAGTCGAGGTGTGCGTAAACTAGTCTGGACACTCACGATTATCAAAATCTTTTTTTTAATCAAATAAGATTTCAACAAGATAGATATTTTATAATATGTCATTCAAGGATGAGTGTTTAAAATGGTAAGTTTTATTAGTGAATAACAATTCTACCCCTATGGTTTTAAAAATTATTACTGTTGTATTCCTGATTTTTACTTGTAAATATAAGACTTTTGTTCTTAACAAAACATAGGAAAAATTGCAGCAACGTCCCTAAATTTTTAAAATTTTGCAAACTTTACCCTAACGTTCATTTTGTGCCAGTGAAAGTCCCTAACTTTTAATAAATATGCAGCTAGAGTCCAAATGGATGGAGCATATCTATTTGATCGTTAGTTGATCATTAAAAGTGAATTTTGATTAAATTGAAAGAGTTAAAATGGTAAGTTTAATATTTTTAAAAAATGGCTACTGTTATCTCTTCTTCCACACCCCATGCCCACCCCCACTTCCCAAGCAAGACAAAATCCACAGAAAATAGTAGTTTCGTAGTCGTCACCCATCCCGCCTTCTTTTTCTTTCATAGCCACCACTACCTTCCCTACCCATTTCATCTTCTTCTCGAGCCTTATCACCCAACAATCTTCACCTCCATTTTTCTTGATTTTTCTCTAGAAATTTTCTATTTTTCTTCGCACTCAGAAATCTAGAAGAATAGAATCAATTCTCACTGGTCTTCGTTGTGTAAGTTTGATTCTAGAGCGTTTATGTGTCTACTAGTTAGAAATTTGGTTGATTTCGAAGGCATTATCGACGCAGCTGCACTACCGAGGTGGCAACAGCTATGTCGACGACTTGTATAAGGCCAAAACCAGGATGTTCACTATCCCCACATGAACAGCAACAACACACAGTAGTGTACATCGAGAATTCCTCAAGCTCTATCACCAATTGGACAACAACAACACACATCATCAACACAGAATTCCTCAAATGGCACTTTGAAATTGTAGAAGTATGGGGAAAAATCATTTCTTAAATGATGTAGCCAATTTGAAAGATCAGAAACTCTATTTTTCCAAATGATGATTGAAAATGTGAATTGGTGAGAATTGGTGGCGGAGCCACTGGTTTGGGGTTTGAATTGGAAAATGCTTCTCTACCAGGCTTGTAAGAAGCTTGATCGAGGCCCCCCCCCTCTCATTTCTCTCACCTTGATGTGGGCTCCGACGCCTTAAAAAATGCAAAAGACAAAATCAACCCCACCTATGTGAGGGGTAAGTGTTGGGTGTACACGTTTGAATTTGGGAATGGCGAGTAGGGTAGGTGGGTTGGGGTTTGTGCAGTGAAAGAGACAAATATTTTTTTTTTTTTGGTTTTTCTTAAATTGTTTGTTTTTGTTTTTTTTTAATAATATGAGATTAACTAATTTACTGTTTTGTCCTTACTAATTTGGTCAAAATCAATTGTTTTGTTCAACTAATGGCCAAACATCCATTTGGACTTCAGCTATATATTTATTAAAGGCTAGGGATCTTCACTGTTACAAAATGAAAGTTAAGGTAAAGTATGCAAAAGTTGAAAAGATTTGGAACCGTTGCTTCAATTTTTCTTAAAATACATAAATTTATTGATTTTTATTCTCTCTTCTATTTTTCTCTCTCTTTTCGTAATGACTGGAACCATACAAAAAATATAAAAAATTTGAAATATCAACTTATGCTCCTAGTCGAGTAACGGACACAGCATTCCCGCAAATGCATAAACAAGTGGGCACATCTCTGTTCGTTCAAGTAGTGAAATAGCAATGGACACATACCGTAACTTCCTTTTACTGGAAATGACTCGATAGTGCAAAATTCAGCCCTGTGACAAAAAAGCCATGGGAAAGAAGAGAAGGAGAGTTCCGGAGGTACTATGGCGGCTATTTCACCACCGAGCTCGTACACTGGCGGAGACGATCTTGTCATTGATACCACCGCCCCCGGCAACGGCAGCAGGGTGCAGGTGTAAGGGGCGGCGGTGCCTCAGTTGCAGCGGTGATGACGCTATGTCCTTTCTCCTCAGACCAAACGACCCTCCTGACTATCGCAGGCTCCTCACTAAATCTTTCGTCGTTGTTTCCGAAAATGCCCCTCCCTTGCCTATCTTAGATCCTCAATGCCGCTGGTCACAGCTCGAGGTTTCTCCTCTCTATGTATATAGTAATACGGGAGTTTTAAATATGTTAATGTATTTTTGAAAATGTATATGTACGCATGAATGTATTTCTGTGTATTTGTAGTTTTGGCGGGAAAACAAGAGAGGTCTCTTGCGTTTTATATCTGATCATTGCATTACTGGATTTGCAAAACATCAGGTTAACACTTAGGTGCAAAGATTAAAAACCGACATGCATACTCGTATGCTGTACTATTGATTGATAGAAAATTAGCATAGGAAGTGAAGTGCAAATCGTTAATTCCTAGAGCCTAAAAGATTGGGAAGAACTGCAATTGAACGATTATCGTTTGCAGAGCCTAAAACATTTCAGAACAACTACAATTCTGCAATTGAACAATGGTAGCTATTCATCATTCCCTTTTTTTTTTTTGGTTGGCATATATTATGTCGATTTTGTTTCTAAATTACCATATCCCTTAGCAGTGATTGCAAGGGGTCAAGAATTCAACCAGATGTTCCAAATTCACTTTAGAAAAACTGAATTACGTTTTAGCAATGAGTAAAGCCACCCCCCCCCTTTTTTTTCAGTGTTAATTTTATATGCTACTAGAATCATAGTACTCCATGCCATTTTTGAGAGCTCTCGGGCATTTTAGCATAGTGGCAATCTTCAATATTCCATTTGAATTATTTTTATAGTATGCACTGTCCCTAAATATGATATGGTACTTTCTTCAATTTCAGATCGTTACAAGAACAATCGAAATGATATCATATGAACAGACTTCTTCCAAGAATATAATATGCTGGAGTTATGATAAAGTGAGTGTTTTTAACTATTGTGTACTTCATTTGTCTCAATTCGTGGTTTGTTCAATCAAGGGTTGTAGTTTTTTTCCTAAGAGATCTTTTTTATTTGTTTGAGCTGCATATTACTTTCACAACTTAATCATTATTGTATCTCTTTCTTGATGTAAAAATTTGACAGTTTCTGCAATTTTTTGTCTATAAGATGGTTGATCACTACTGAAGTTTCTCTGCGTTGTGCTTGTGTCTGACAGCACAACCGCTCAAGTTCAGTTGTCGATATTTTAACTTCCTCAGCATGGAGTCACCTTCTAAGGAGAGTAAGTAAATAGATGTGTAATATGTTCTAGGTTTATAAGTTATTTTTCAAAATGTTGTATGTGATTGAGTGCCAATTACCAATTTTGCAGGTTGGGGATACTCTCATGGTGTATTTACTAAAATTTACTTCAGTCTTTTTGTCCCTTCCCAAAAAGAAGCATCATCAGGTAGCAGGTTTCCCTATCAATGATTTGTGCCTTAAAGTATCAAGGCACATGCTTGACTCTGAAATCCAGCACCGTTCGCTTGATCATAATGGTAAATTGAGTTTTTGATTGGTTATTTTAAGAATTTATACATGGTGAATCTGATTTTCAATCATTCCTGATTTAACATCAAGTGTGTGTTGTAGGGTATATATTGAAGCAGAGTTTGAAGACTGTTTTATATTCTGTATACAATAATTATATCTAAGCTGGAACCATACTGCTACAAAATGAAATTGAAATGCGGTCCCGCATAAGTGCCATTTATTCATTTTCTTGGGTTGCTCATATTTCATGAAATTGAAATCTTTATTAGGGACGTAACTTATTTTTATGGTGTAGAGGAACTCAAGTATGTGCTCATAACTTTGGTTATTAGAGAAATTACATAGATGCTCTGACTCTTACAAAGACCCACCCTTGTTTCCAACACCACAATCCCCAATTTAAAATTATATATCTTTTTTTGTAGAAGATTGTATGGTACCTAAACTATTGTATAAAATTTACAATAAAACTTAGATGCCCCACAAGATGCAGCCCCATTCCTGCAGCTAGGAGAATTATATTACACATACTTAAAGGGAAAGTGAGGTGGGGATGGGGAGGGAACTTTGTGGTGGAGGTCGTACGATGTTTTTTTAATTGTTATTGTAGAGTGATAATATATGTACTGTACATTTTCTTTATTTTCCTTGAAAATACTTTAGAACCCAAAAGAGAATCTGTTGTTTAATACATCCTCATGGGTGTCTGTGTTACTTTTTAAATGAGAAGAGTTGTTTCTAAAATAGTCTCACGAGGGTATCTCCCTAATTCTCTCTCTCTTTTTTTTATTTTTTATCAAGGTAACTCCAGAATCTTTATTTATATAAAAAAATAAATAAATCAATAATCTAGTATAGGCGCAGCGTAAAAAGTCTAATAATTTGAGTGAGGATCTGGGACGTGTGGTTGAGTTATCATAGTTTGACAAATTAAATGCAAGTGTCAACTTGCTGGAGTTTTGTCTAGACAGCTTACACGGTTGGAAATGCTTCCAAATATCAACAGTATATTATCTAACATTTTAAAAAAAGTTATTTTATTTTAAGAAAATCAATCTGAAAACTCAAAAAATTATGGTAAGTAATAGGAGTTGCAAGAATCAGTCTATACATCGATAAGGACTTAATTTACCATACAGCATGAGAACTGAGCAGTTCGACATTGTAAAACCAGTAAGCCTATAAACTATGATGCAGCGATATGGATACATGTGTTCAATACGACAGGTGTCGAATACGCTGACACACTATTTTTCAAAGAGTACTGATATTGCACGTTGTCAACAAGTTAATTAAAATCTTTAAAATTATTTATATATATAGTATAAATTTTTTTTTTTCTTATTAATTTTTATTGTTGAAATCTTTTAAATATGAGTACCTATTTATTATTTAATAATAATTTTGAGTTAAAAATATATAATATTAGGGTTGGGCAAATCTCCCGAACCTAACCAACCGAGCTGAACCCGAACTGAACCGAACCGAACCGAACCGAACCGAACCGAACCGGACGGTTCTTATCAAATTAAATACCCGAGCGGGTATCTGAATTGAGAACCGACGGGTACGATTCGGTTCTCGGTTCTTGACCGAGAACCAAAGAACTGAATAAGAACCGAATCTTTCTAATTTTTTTTTATATTGAGTAAATCAAATTATTTTAATTTTAATTTTTCTAAATAAATTAACAATTTTTAAATCCAAATTTTTGGTCCAATAATTTGTTTCGTTTCTAACTTTTTAGTTTTTGGCCCAATTACCCATTTTATTGTATCATTTCTTAGCCCAACAAGATCCAATCTACTAAATAATCATAAACACCTACACTAAAGTGCATAACGTTATCTCGACTCTCGCAACCTCGCTAACATTCCAAAACCTATACAATCGTCGGTCGATGCTGTGACCTTCACCGACTAAAACTTTGACTGTAGCGATCATTTAAATAAGGTAGTTTACTAGTCTCTGACATTCCAAAACCATTGAATGTATCATTAGTTGTATTTATATATTATTGTTATAAATGTTAAAAAATCTAATTATCGTACAGAACCAAATAGAACCGAACTGAATCGAACGAAACCGAATTCGAATGGTTCCATAATTATATTTGGACCCGACGGTTCCATTTACTAGATACCCGAAAGTTTTGGTTAACCGAACCGACCCGCGCCCTCTCCTATATAATATTTCTAATAAAGAAAGAAAATGATCATGGTAGAGTGTTAGAGGAGTATCGGTATCCGACAGGAGTCCAACACAAACTACCCCAGTTGAAGTATCCATGCTACACAGCCTATAATTGATTTTGTTTTTTCATTTCTTTATTTAATTTGACATAAGTGTTAAACCCTCACATGATGTATTTCAATATTGTTCACATTCTCTTGATAATTTCCCTTCAACAGCTTGGGCTGATTTCTTTGTGCTCTAGGCTATCACTGTATTACAAAATATATAAAGTGTTTATTCTTTTAATATATATTTTTTCACTTCATGACAATTGCTGAAATAGTTCAGTCAACAATTTTGCATAGTATTGATCCGCTTCAAAATTTTCTCAGCATTAAGGAAGAAGAGGAATGAAGTTGGAGTTGGGTCAATGTCCAAAAAACAGCTAAGCACGTGGGCTTTGGACGTTGAGGCTTCTTCAAACAACAATAAGTTCGTTGGGTGTAATGGTAGGGATGACAGAACTCAATATAGTTGATACAACAGACATGCTATGAGAAGACTATCTAAAGATGCTACAATAAATGCAGGCACTAATAGTGTTAGTAATGAAGAGTTTTCAAATGAAAAAGGCAAGGAAAGCTCAAACCAAAACATTACATTGCCTGGAAAGCGGAAAAGGCAGTTCCGTTGGCAGCGTCAGAGAAAGCGGAGGCAGTTGGCTGGTCAAGGAACGTCTTCTTTGATTTCCTGTACAGAAAGCTTCAATAACAACAATAACTTTTCTAGTGGGTCTAGAGGGCAACCTGGCCTCGGCATAGCTTCAGGTCTAAGCAATGGACAGGTAGTTAATATTTATACCTCCTTTGCGTTCTGTTTAAATTGAACTTTTAGTCCTTTTACTAGTAACTTTGTTGTACCTATATCTCTTGTTTCCTTTGCTATATGTCAAGGGTGAGACAAATTTATGTCCCAATCACCACTATGTATACATTTCTGAAATCTTATTGCAGTAGGTAGGTTCATCCTCTGTAGTTTTGTAAAACTTACAGACTTCAAAGAAAACGGCTGCTCAAAAAGATTTAAGTTTCACCAAATACAATCTTTTCTTTATAAAGTTGTGTATCTTACGTCATGCTTCAGATTTGATTTGACTTGACTCTTGGCTGTTCTATTTTTCGAATTTGTGTAACCGTGTTATTAATTCAACTAGATGTTAGAGGCGAAACCGAGTTAACCTCCAATATATCGGGTTGCCCAGTGCTTCTCATTCCTTCCCCCCCTCTTTACTAGTTTCATGGGGTTGTAAAATTTAGTAAATGATTGATCATGACTTGAAGGTATTGATAAGAGAGGAAATATTGCTATCTATAGCACAAGAGATTGCCTCTTGCTTATATTTATACATTGTTACAATAACAACAATAACAAGGACCTAATGCGTGTATACGAAATAGCATATAAGACTCAACCTAACTCATTCTCTTGATTTCTATAATTAATGAAACATAATCTCCTGATGGTTTTTTGATTAATAGTGTGTATTAAGTTGGTTATCTATTGAGCATTTTGAATTAGAAATCTATGATTGTCTTTTTAAAACAGTTGAGATAATCTGGCATTCTCATACCCTTTTTCATTCTGTTTTCTTGTAAAATAATGGGACTTTTGGGGTTTTAATATTTGCAGATAGTATCATGTTTCTCTTGTTGTTCTGTCTTTCGAAATCTACCGAAGATCATAAAGAAAGTTCAGGTCGATAGGAAAAGTATATTCTACAGGTTGGAGAGTTCTTCTTCAATGTTCCCAAGGAAATGTATCCTCATCTGTATCTTGTATTGCATCCCTATCCAGCTTCAACATCTTGCTTTTTTCTTGAATATTACCAATTTATTATTATTATTATTATTATTTTATTTTATTTTTTATTTTTAACTTTGTATCTGGAGATCAAATAAAAGGAATCAACATTATACTTCCACTTGCTTATTGATTTCTCCGTTATTTGCAAATGTATAATTTGTGTAACTTTCAGTTCTTACGGATTCCTTGGAAAGCTATTAGTGTATTATTCATACATCTTTCTAATTCTTCTCCCCTCATCCCAGTCCCCACCACCTCATTATAAATACTGAACCTTTACTTTGTGAACTCATAATTGAAGATTGACCACTGGTTCATGATGTCGTTGTCTTCTTTTGTTCTCTTTTAAAAAGTTCATTTTTCAACCTCAACTATTTCCAGACATTCTGCATTCTGTGAAGCCCAATGATTCTGGAGCAATTTCTCTCTTCAAGAATATCTTTGGAACATTTGATGTTGATATGAATCCTCAGTCAATGCCAGGTTTTCATGGAAAAACCTGTTGTCTCAGCAGATCCACATGTTTGTAAGCAACAACTGGCATTTGTAAATTTATAGCCATTATGGATTGATATGTTTCAATTTCTGAGGTTCTTAATTTATCTCTTGATACCGTCAGGTATCTTCAACTCAATAATGTTTACATATTTGTTGGCACTTGTTGAATCACTTCATTTGAAAGCTTAAGTTGTTATGTAGAGGCTCATGTATATCATTTGAATATTGTCTTCAATATGCCCCCCTCACTTGTAGGCGAGGTTTATTTTTTCTCATCTAAGCCTCACATGACAATTCATTAAAATGGGTGCCGATGAGGCTTGAACCCAAGACATTTTGCTTACTGTTTTACATTATTGAACCACTTGATCTAAAATTTTAAGTTGTTAGATAGGACTACATATATATTATTTAAAGCATGTTTGAGCCCTGTTAAAAATGCATTTTGTAATAGTAGATTGAAGGAGAATATATATTTAAAAAATAAGAAAAGTTTTGGATTTGTGTGTAATATAATTTTACTGGAGAATGTGTGATTGAAAAGAAGAGAGACAAAAATGTATTTTGAAAATAATGAGGATCAAACAAGGGCTTAAATGGTCTTCAACAGCGCTTTTCTATCTATTTGTTTGATTTCATCATAATTGTCAAAATATCAATCTGTATATTGTACACGATGTTATTATTATCATATTTAAATTTTGTTAATTTCCTTTTGTACAAAGGTTTTAGAAAATTGGGTTATGTATGGAGTTGGTGGGAATTCCGCCGCATTATGTGGTAATGTATCTGGTTTGAACTGTGTTATGTTAAATATTATGAAATTTGATTTCTTAGATTGACTGATGCAGTTTGTATGAATTTGTGGACTAGGACCGGATTAGGCGGATGATGGACACAAGACTTTCTTGTGATATGTTTGTTGTTCTCAAACATTGTCTTAAATTTGTCTTGTATGCAAGTTGATATGAATGCCATGTGCAGCAGAAAGCCGTGAACCTGTGACTGCCACCATCCCACAAAAAGAAAAAGGAAAAAAAAAATAAAAAATAAAAAAATAAAATAAGCAATGTTGTTATTTCAAACAAAGTGCTTGAGGAAGGCATATAAACTTACAGATAAGCAAAAGCTTTCTTAGCATAATTTGTTCGTCATTAACTTGGCCTTCTAGTCTTCTACTGAAATAAGCTTCATATTTGAGATTTCATTTTGGATATAGCTTGGCCTAGCTTATCTACAACAAATATAATGTTATGAAGGAAACCTGCCCAAATTATTTATTTATTATTATTATTATTATTATTATTATTATTATTATTTTTTTTTTTTTTTGTCCTGCCACACTTGGACCAAGATGCATATGAAAGTGGCTGCTCTCTATTTGAGGTTAGAATTCACTAGCAAGGTTCTTCATTTCATTTTATTGTTAATATGTCTAAAGTCCTTTCGAAAACTTTTATTCCTCAATAATAGAGAAGCTAGGGTCTCCTGTTCTCTCTGATATCTTGGTTCCTTATATATCTTCTCCTTTTCTAGAGATTTAATGTTAATTGAGCTGTCTCTTGACGATCCTTGGTATGGGCATCACCTTTTCATTTCCTTGTAAAAAATATGTAATCTTCATTATTGGAGCTTTTGGACTTCTTGTTCTACTATTTCAGTAATCTGTTCATGTCAGTCATGAGGCATACTATGGCCCTGTTTGAGCCCTATTCTTTGGAAAAAATGCATTATTATACAGTGATTTGACATCATTTTAACCACACATTCTTCAATAAAATAATATTATACGTAAATCTAAAATTATTTCTTATTTTTTAACCACACATTTTCCATCAATACACTATTCAAAAATGCATTTTCATGAAAATAATGTGGCTCAAACAATGGCTATATAAGACATTTCTTTTCATTTCCTTGTCAAAAAATATATAATTTCCTTCATTATTGGAGCATTTGGACTTCCTGTTCTACTATTTTACTCTTCTTCAGGGCCCATTTGGCATGAGTATTGCTTTTACTTTTGCTTCCTATTGAAGAGATTTTGAAGAAAGTTATTTTAATTTTTGTTTGGAAACTAATTTTGTAAGTGCTTCCTATTCTGGAAGTACTTTTAGAGGAAGCCACATTGGATTAAAAGCACTACTAACTATAAGAAGCGCATTCACAAAACTAGCCAAACGGGTTAAAAAGCAACTTTTGGGCCTCAAAAGCTCCTTTTGACTTTGCCATGCCAAATGGGCCCTTAATGTAGTATCTCAATTTACTTTTGAGTTACTTTTTTCTTTTAACTTGAAGAAGAAAACTCATAATTGAATGACTTCATACCTATCGGATTTTTGTTTAATTAATATGTAGTATTTTGGTTCATGAGCTGACTTCACCAGTGTAATGCGTTTGGACTCATTGGTCCAGGGTAATGATTCTGGGATAAGCTTTTCTATGAAGGAAAGTTACGAGGCTCAGTGTGAAAAGAAATCATGTCATGTTTCTGATACCAGAAGTTGTAAGTTGACATCAGAAGCCACTGACTATCATTTTGAGCCAAATAAGTGTCAATGTCTCAAGAAACAGGTAGTATCATTTATATGGGCAGTTTGTAGAAGTATAGTTCCTTCAGATTTGCTAGGAATGCCTTCTAATTGGAGAATTCTGAGGACGAATATCTCAAAGTTCATTCAGCTGCGAAGATTTGAGAAGTTCTCACTCAACCAATGTATGAATAAATTGAAAACATCGAAGTTTCCTTTACTGTCAAACAAGTCTTGCCAATTGACCAGAGATTTGGCAAAATACGCAGAAGGAAACTGTGGGGATATGCAGCATAAGAAATGCTGTGAACTTTATGCCACAGATATTATTAAACGTAAAATTCTTGAATGCTGGATTTTTTGGTTTTTTACTAGTCTAGTATCGCCATTGATTCAAGCCAACTTTTACGTTACAGAAAGTGAGCATGAGAAACAAGAGGTATTTTATTATCGGAAGCCTATCTGGAAGAAACTGATGAGAGAATCAGTTACATGCATGAAGGGTAAGAGTTATCGCCAATTAAATAATGCATCTGTTAGACAAATCATAAGGAATAGATCATTTGGTTTCTCACGGGCCAGATTTCTTCCCAAGGAACATGGGTTCAGATTACTGGCAAATCTAAAAGCTTCATCAAGGATGCCCGTGAACTTACTCTCTTCTAGAGTTCTATCTAATGGACAATTGCAGAGGAAAGCGTCTTGCGTTCCTAGAAATGTCAAATATGACTATTTCAAGTCTGTAAATAGTGTCCTTCGTGATCTGCATGTAATTCTGAAAGGCATACAGACAAAAGAACAAGAGAAGTTGGGTTCATCGGTATTTGATTATAATGATGTGTACAGGAAATTTGTCCCTTTCTTGTTTTCTCTGAGAGATGGATCAACCACCATGCCTAGCATTTTCATCGTTGTGTCAGATGTATCCAAAGCTTTTGACTCAGTCAACCATGATAGATTGCTTAATGTGATCAAGGATGTGGTATTGGATGATGAATATGTTTTGGAAAAGTCTATTCAGGTATCTTGCACGAAGAAGTCTTTGAGGGTCCGTCAGCATCTTACGCTAGCAGATCAAGATATCATCACCAAATCAGCAAAGATCCCATCATGTCCTCCTGTACATTCGTTGGATGGTGTTCTTGTTAAGAAGGTACTGATATTAATCTAACGGATAACTTGATTGTTTTCTTTGAAACTATTGTTTTCATGAATCCCATAGCAGGCACTTGCACATAGATCTTTTTGTTCTTTTGTATGCTTTTACAAATAACAAGGAAATGACAAAATACTTCCCTTTCCTTTTGGCACTAAAGTGTTAGCAGTCAGTTCTTTACTATTATTTTGAACTGGGCACATCTAGTTTTGATGCATATAAATATAGTGTGCAGTGTTATAGCTTATCTCAATTGATGGATGGTTTTGTTCCTAAGATGAATTGATTTAACTCTCTTCCCAAGTGATAGATATGGGTCCCATAATTGGTTAATGCATCATTGTAGTTGCTGGCAATTAACATCATGATGAATTTGAAATGGAAGGATGAAGAAAAAATGTGCAGGAAATAAGTGAGCCACAAGGGTTTATGTTTTACCTTTAATTTTTTTCTTTCTGTTGTGCTACATGTACAAATTAATTTATATACACATGATATGGTGAGATATAATTGGTCAGAATTTCTTCAACCAAATTACAAAAAAAATAAAAAAAAAAAATAAATAAATTCATTGCTCTCTTTTTGGCCGCTCATTTGTGTGTAAACCATTATGTAATTCCATTATGTACGAGTATCATTATTTTTTTCTTTTACAATTTATTGATGCACGGTGTTTCTATTATATAGTGAGGTCACCGTTTCTGTTCTATAACTTTTCAGAATTGTCATGGCTTGATGAATAGTCACTTAGCAAGATTTTTTGTGATCATTGTGATTGCTAACTGCATCCTGAAACATTGGTACATGTTTTTTCGGTTTGCTTTAGAAGCCACATATAATAGGAAAGAAGAGGAAGAACAAGTTTGTTATTAGACTGTGTGGAACTGTGAAGTAGAGAGTCCATCCAAAGCAAGTACATGCAGGTGAAGGTCCCACGTAGGTTTACTAATTCCTGTTGTAGCCTATGCTACAGCGTATATATTGCATGCCTATAATTAAAATTCTTTAATCCATTGATAGTCTGTTTTGTTGAGTAGCTAAATGTTGTATAATTTTTTGACCTCTGCTATCAGACATCGAGCGGAAGAATAAGGAAGGAAAAAGTTCATTTTATTCTCAACGAGCATATAAAGCGCAATGTGCTGCAATTAGATGACAACTTTTACCAGCAATGCATTGGTATACCTCAAGGAAGTGTGTTGTCATCTCTGCTCTGCTCGTTTTACTATGGACACATGGAGAGAAATGTAATCTTTCCATTTCTTGAGAAATCTTGGGAGCCTGACACCACACACTTTTCAGGAAAACATGATTCTCATGGTTCTTCAGCTTCAGAAAGCAACTGCAAAATAGAAATGATTGCATGTGCTTCTAAATATCTCCTGCTCAGGTTTATTGATGATTTCCTCTTTGTATCAACTTCAAAAAAGCAGTCTGCTATGTTCTTCAGCCGGTTGCATAGAGGAATCCGTGAATATAACTGCTACATGAATGAGGAGAAATATGGTTTAAATTTTACTGTGAACAGTTTAGGTCCTTTAGGATTACGGTCAGACAGATTATATGTAGGTAAAGATGGCATCTCATTTCTTCGTTGGAGTGGACTGCTTGTCAATTGCTGTACATTGGAAATTCAGGCAGACTACACAAGGTTATTTTCTTCTTGTTACGTACTTGGCAGTGGATGACTCTATTTAATGAATCTTATCATATCTGGCTTGCTTTATCATATAACCACTAAGACTTATAAGACTACTTGAGATCATTAGTCACATTATGGTTCAATGCACTGTAGGCCATTCCATGGAGCATTTATGTGTAAAAGAAAACCTTCACTTCAGATTGCACGATATGATATATTTCTTTACAAAATTTTGTTTTTCAAGGAAAATTAAGGTTTAGATTTTGTGAACGTTTTGGTTTATTCTGGCAATATCATGCTGGTACACGTGTCTACCTGTATTAATGACCAATACAAGGATAGGAGTATACTGTAGGATCTCTTGTGCAGCATTGTTACATGCTCTGTTTATAATGATTAGAGTGTTCTGCAGTTTTTTGGGCACACATTTTGGAGCATTCGTGCCCGTACTAGGGTTTAGTTAAATAACATAATGTAGCCGAAGTCTGAGTAGCATTCTTCTGCCACAGTTACTTGAATATGGACTCTCAAGGACACCAGAGTTTTATTGTCACCTTTTGAATATTTTTAAGTAGATTATCAAGGGGATGAACTAAGAACCACTGGAAAATCTATTCTTATTCACCAGCCAGTTACATCCTTTACTCGTTGGAATACCATGTAGCTGTATCCTCTGATATTGACCGTATGTCTGTATCTATATAGCAGTGTATGGACGAATGAGGGGAAAAACTTTTTATTCTTTTTCTCAATAATTATTCCAATACAACTTGCCCCAATATATACACCATACACAGTAGTAGGAAAAGGGAAAAATATCTAACTAAAGAAGAAAATAAAACTTTCCTTACCGAGAGACAATCATACCATAAATATAAATACAATAATCTCGTGATTGATTTGGGATTCCTACAATTCCTACACTCCCCCTCAAGTTGGATTGTAGATATTGATCATATCCAACTTGCAGATGAGATCATCGAAAGTTTGTCTGTGTAGTCCTTTAGTGAACACATCCGCTGTTTGTTCCTTGGTAGGGACATAGATCATGCAAATGATGCCGTTTTCAACATTTTCTTTGATGAAGTGTCTGTCCACTTCAACATGCTTGGTTCTGTCATGTTGGGGTTGAGTGAGATATTGATAGCTACCTTGTTATCACAGTAGAGCTTAATTGGGAATTTCATTGTGACTTGTAGTTCTTCCAAGAGTTTTTTTAACCAAAGACCTTAACACATTCCTTGAGTAGCTGTTCTAAACTCTGCTTTCGCACTACTTCTGGTGACTACATTCTGTTTCTTACTTCTCCAAGTTACTAAGTTGCCCCATACAAAAGTACAGTAACCAGTGGTTGATCTTCTAACTTCAATTGCTCCTGCCCAATCAGCCCCAGTGAATATTTCTATCTCCCTTTTTTTCATTTTTCTTGAACAACAATCCTTTTCCCGGAGAACCTTTAAGATATCTCAGAATCTTGTGTACTGCTTCTAGGTGGGTTTCCCTTGGAGAATGCATGTGCTGGCTTACCACATTAATTGCGAATGCAATGTCGGGTCTAGTGTGCGATAGGTAGATTAGCTTTCCCATTAGTCGTTGGTATCTATCCTTATCAACCAATTCTCCCATGTTGTTGGTCCTTTTTTCAGTATCCATAGGAATGTCACTTGGTTTACACCCAAGCATATCTGTCTCAGTCAAGAGGTTCAAGACATTTTCGTTGTGAAACACTAATACCCTTCCTTGATCTAGCTACTTCCATCCCCAAGAAGTATCTCATCTGTCCCGGATCTTTTACTTCAAATTCTGCGGCTAGACTCCCTTTTAGTCTCTCTACCTCAACTGTATTATCTCCTATAAGGATTATGTCATCAACATATACAATTAGAATGGTCTTTGTTCCATCTTTGAATATCTTGAAAAACATAGTGTGATCTGATTGTCCTTGTTGGTATCCCTGATTTTTCAGTACTTTTGTAAATATGTTAGACCATGCTCTGGGTGACTGTTTCAGACCATACAGAGATTTTTTCAGTTTGCATACTTTGTTTTCTTCACCTTTCTTAGAGAATCTTGGTGGTAGCATCATGTAGACTTCTTCATCCAACTGCCCATTTAAAAATGTATTCTTAATGTCAAGTTGTTGGAGTGGCCAATCCAAGTTTGCTGGTAGTGATAGGACCCGAACTGTATTCAGTTTTGCAATCGGTGCAAAAGTTTTCGTGTAGTCTATTCTATAAGTTTGAGTATATCCTTTTGCAACTAGGCGAGCTTTGTACCTTTCTATTGTCTCGTCTGCTTTATATTTTACATTGAACACCCACTTGCACCCAACAGGTCTCTTTCCTTTCGGTAGTTCCATCACATCCATGTTTCATTTATTTTCAAGGCTTTCATTTCTTCCATTGCTGCTTTCCTCCACTTGGAGATTTTCAATGCTTCTTGAATATTTTTTGGAATTTATGTACTGTCAAGGTTAGCAACAAAAGACCGAAAAACTGGAGATAAAGCTTTATAAGAGATAAACTTTGAGATAGGATGGAGGGTGCATGATCGCGTTTGTTTTCTGAGAGCAATAGGTAGATTAGTGTCGGATGATTTTGAAAGGGGCTCATGAAGTTCCGGAGCTATCAACCGTTCTGACTCTCTTGGCACTTCAGGTGTGGGGTCATAATTCGGTTTTGGCCATCTTGAGTAAACTATTGTTTCTTTACCATGTTGTTCTTTCTGTTCTCCCCCTGAGTTTAACCTTCCTTCTATTGATGGCATGTCGGGATAGAGTGGTGTTGGTTGTTTAGTGATGGATTCGGAGGGATAAATGGAAATTTTCAATAATCGATCTTCACTAATGTTCTCCCCCTGAAGAGAGGTTTTTTGGAAGTATGGATGATTTTCGAAGAAAGTGACATCAAGACTCACGAATAATCTTTTGGTGATAGGATCATAGCTTTTATACCCCTTTTGTATAGGTGAATACCCAATAAATACACACTTAAGTGCACGGGGTTCGAGTTTGTTTCAATGATGAGAGTGTATGTGTACAAAAGCCGTACATCGAAACACTCTTAGGGGTAAGTTAGAGTTAAGGCGAGAGTTAGGGAAGAAGGTTTGGAATTTTTGGAGAGGAGTTTCGAAATTGAGGGTCCGACTAGGCAATCTGTTAATGAGGTAGGCTGATGTTAGAATGACATCCCTCCAGAAAGTATTGTTTACACCGGTGGTGAACATCAGTGCTCGAGTTACCTCAAGTAGTTGTCTATTTTTACGTTCAGCAACTCTATTTTGTTGTGTCGATGGATTATCCCATTATCTTGAAGGTAGGTTTTTAAGGCCATTATCTGTGCACAGAATTTGAATTTTTGTCTGGAATTGAGTTTGAATCATTGTATGGAAATTCATGAACACAGAATGAACTTCGATCTTTTCTTTTAACAGATAGACCCAACAAATTCGAGTGTGATTGTCAATAAATGTGACAAACCATCTTGTGTGAGTGCGATTGGGGATTCGTGAAGGTCCCCATAAATCACTGTGAATCATGCTAAATGGTCGAGATGGTTTATACAAGGATTTTGGGAATGAAGAACGATGATGTTTTGCGAGTTCACAACTTTCACAATAAAATCAGAAGATATTTTATTCAAAAAAAGTGATGGGAATACATGTCTTAAATATTGAAAGCTGGGATGTCCTATTCTATAATGCCATAAAAGAAGTTCACTATCCTTATGGAAAAAAACAGAATCACAACTAACAAATTGACGTTGTTCACTCACATTAGCCTCGTCAAAGTAGTAGAGTCCCTCACTCTATTTAGCACTGCCAATTGTCTTCCCTGATGATAGATCCTAAAACATACGGTGGGAAGAAAAGAAATTAGCTGAACAATTTGAATATTTTGTTAATTGGCTAATGGATAATAAATTGCATGATGAATTTGGGACATGTAGTACGTGCTTGAGAGTGATTGAGTTAGAGATATGAATACTCTCTTTCTCAACCACTGGAGATAATGAGAAGAAAATAGGTGATAGGAGTCCGTCATGTGATCAGACGCACCGGAATTAATAATCCATGGTACCTTTGAAAGTGTGGTGGTGTTTAGGGCTCTCAGGAAATTACCTCTGTGGGCCAAAGAACTTGACGACCTAAGTGACTCAAAGCTAGAAAACATTTTGTAGAGTTGTTCAAGTTGCTCATGACTAAAAGCACCACTCCGAGTGGAATTCTGTATTTTAGTGGAGTCAACTGTAGCTTGATAGCCGTGATTTCTATTATTCTGTCTTAATTTCCAGTCAGATGGTTTTCTGTGTAAATCCCAGCACGTGTCTTCTTTATGTCCATGTTTCCGACAGTGATCACACCATGGGCGACCCTTTATTTGTTTTTGGCCCAATCCAATTTTAGGTGATCCTCTAGACATTTGCACTCCCAAATTTGGCTCATCATAAGAATGTTTTTTAAATTTGGCACCAGCTCCATGTGGCCCATATCCACTTAATCCACTTAATCCAATAGGCCCACTAGAGTTAGGACCCGGCGGCCCAATTGAATCTAAAATAAGGGCCGATCCTTCTACAGAATTTCCAGACCCGTTCCCGGCAGCAGACGACCCACTTTTCAGCATGGTTTGTCGGCGGCTTTCCTCACGTCTGACTTCGGTGAAGATGTCGCGTGTGGAGGGCAGTGGTTGGCGATTGAGAATTCACCCCCTCACGTCGTCCAGTTCGCGGTTCAGTTCGGCCAAGAATTCATATACTTGTTCACTTTCTACTCTTTTCTTGTATCGAACTCCATCACTGGGGCAGTCCCACTGTTCATCAACGCTGAGATCTAATTCTTGCCAATGGGTGGTCATTTCCATTTAGTACTTAGTAACGGTCCTTTCTCCTTGTTTAGCCTGCCACAATTTCGTTTTAATTTCATAGTCTGAGTACAAATCCCGTGTGGCGTCCCATATGTCTTTTGCGGTAGCCATGAAGAGAAAAATCTTGCCAATTGACGGTTTCATTGAATTGACAAGCCACGCCATCACCATGGAATTTTCAGATTTCCACTTCTGTTGGAGGTTTGCATCCGTAGGTTGTTTCACTTCTCCGGTAAGATAGCCAATTTTTCCTTTCCCGTCGACTACCAATTTGATGGATTGAGCCCATTCCCTGTAGTTTGTACGTTGAGTTTTTCCACGGTAAGTTAGAAGGAGGAACTATTGATTCCAATTGAATTCATGGTGGTGACAGGGTCGATCTTGCTGGTTTCGGATTCAGAGAAAACTGATTCCTTACTATGGGCTGTGTTTTCAGTCTTTGATTTCTGGTTTTAGTGTTTCCCGTGCTCTGATACCATATGGACGAATGAGAGAAAAAGCTTTTTATTCTTTTTCTCAATAATTATTCCAATACAACTTGCCCCAATATATACACCATACACGGTAGTAGGAAAAGGAAAAGATATTCTAACTAAAGAAGAAAATAAAACTTTCCTAACCTAGAGACAATCATACTATAAATATAAGTACAATAATCTCGTGATTGATTTGGGATTCCTACAATTCCTCCACAGTGGCACTTCTCAAACAAAATCATCACGTCAGCACTTAATTTTTTGTTACTTCTTGCATCTTCTTCCGTTTATACTTTGAGGTGAAGCTGTATAATGGCTGCAGATTGAAACTGTAGGGATTATGGCACATCTATTGTCATAGTACACATTCAGCAGAATTATTTATTTTTATTTTATTTTTAATTTTTTAAGCCCTTCATCTGCTAGTTCACTTAAAACATGTGATAATTTAATGCTTCTTTATTTTCTTTTTCAAGTTGTCTGGAAATTAACAAGGAAAGGAAAACATTTTCCCTTTAGATGGATGTTTACATTCCTATATTTCTCTATTTTTATACTCACTCTGATACACTGAGCAGGTACATGAACTCCCATTTAAGTTCTTCTCTGACAGTCTGCTGGGACGGTAAAGTAGGACGTCATTTGAAGGCAAAGCTCTGTGATTATCTCCGGCCTAAATGTCATCCTATATTCTACGATTCCAATATCAATTCGGCAGCTGTGGTCCGACTCAATATTTATCAAGCTTTTTTGCTTTGTGCAATGAAGTTCCACTGCTATGTAGCCAACTTGTCTCCCACGTTTAGATTCAGCCCTATATTCTTTATAGATGCTGTCGACACATCTTTGAGGTAGTAATTTAATTTTTCCCTCTCCCCTGCATTGTATTGGTTTGTCTTTTCCATTTTTTGTTTCCTTCTGCCTCTGCCTAGTTAGAGCATACTCTTCGTTCGTATTTTTTCAGGTACATGCACAAACTTATAAAGAAAAGGATGCATTCTTTGATTGCTGGCTGTGATTTTCGTCCAATATTTAACGTGAAGAAGAAAGAAACTCTATGGCTCGGATTATATGCTTATGTACGCGTACTGAGGAAGAAACAATCCCGTTACAAGGAGCTCTTATCTTTATTGAGGTCCAAGTTGATGACATATTGGAAGGCTGAGAACTTGTCACCAGCACTCTCGTATGCTGTTGATGATGATCATTCTTCATTATTCTGGAACATTAAGTATTGATCTATGGAGTGGTAGTTTTTTCATTAATTAACCAGTATAGCAAGATTTGTGCCTTCTCTTTGGTTGTACTTTTGCAATTTATGTTTTTAACATGAAACTGCAAATTGTGGTTCTTTTGTTTATACTAGTTAAGAGTTTAATGGCATTGTACGTTATTTTAAAATACTTTATAACTATTGTAAACGTAATATTTGGTACCAATTTGGTGGAATATTCGATGAGTCTCAAACGAATTAAAGAAAATAAAATTTAGGAAATAAATTTAAGAGAGGAAAATTGTATTCTTAAAACTCATTTTTTGTGATTCAATTTTTTTGTAATGATGAAATATTATAAATGAGCAATTTTTTTATATTACATTTGGTACATAAAAATTAATTCTTAATACATGAATTTAAGCACTCATGAATTTTTTTGCATACATGAGTGGAATTTTTTTTTTAGTAACTTTAAATTCATATAAATCAAGATAGATCAAGTCAATATTCATTGAGTTTAGATTAATCTGAATGCTAATTAATTGAGAATTAACAACACGAAATTCATCAATGAGATTTTGAAGTATTTATTATATAATTGAAAATATGAAAAGTAATGTATGATTGAAATCATTGAATTGTAGTAGGGTTAAAATCATTCAACAATTGATTTTCAGTTGATGTGATATTTAATATGTTATAGATTAGATTTTTTTAACCTTTCTTTTGGTTTATTTTTAATATTTTTATGTTGTTAGATCAAGGTGAAAAAAATACTATTTTCTTTATCTGACTGAAATTTTTATGGAAACAAATCTTGATATGTTTTTTAAAGCCCTAGGGACGTCCACAAGGAGGGGGAATGCATTATAACAAATTTATAAGGGTTTTAGAGCATAGAAGAAAGCAAGAAACACAAAAATCAACCCTTAGAAACGAAGATTCAATTCAAAATTTAAATTGGTGATGTCGTTTCTTCAATATTCATTTTGTTTTCTTCTTTTCACCATGCTAGGCAAGAAAGCTGATTTTTTTTTTTTGGTGCTTGGAGAACGATGAACCATATTGTATGAGTTTTCTAATCTTGAGTTTTACATGTTTGACATTAAAAACACATTTTTGAGTATTGAATGATTTATATGAATTTATTTTCTACATGATTATTGAACATGGTAATTATGTGAATATGACAACTTACTTCATGCATTCAAAAGAAGGAAAATTATCAATGTTCATAAAAATTAATGCATTCTTGTGTATTCGCATCTACTATAAAATATAGTAATATTACTCGAGAGAGATTGTTAAATAAAATAGGAACATTGATTTGTCAAAATTCAATTGTGTCGTCAAAGTGTAAAACTAAGTTTAAAAGTGACTATTGCATGGGATTCACAATCATAGTATGTTTATCATTCATTAGAACACTTCAATTTACATTTAAACATAACTTGCATTTAGTTAGCTTAATCACTTAATTGCATACGTAATTTAGTTTAGATATAATTTGCATCACAACAAAAACACTAATTTTTATTGTTTTGGCTAAGGTCATGGTAATAAAAATTGAACAAAATCATTCCTCCTGAGACTATACTTGGACTCAACATCCACTTTATTATTTGTTAATGAACCGTGCATTTACAGTATTTTAGATCAAAATATATTTTCGAATAACAAATTTTTGGCGTTGTTATTGGGGATTGAGTTTTAATTTGATTTTATTTACCTTGACACTAATTCAAATTTCTTATTTTATTTTTTATCTTATTTATTATATCTAGTTTTTCTACTAAAGTTAGTGCGACTTTTGCTCTTCCTTTAGGTCTTGTATGCGAAAGTTGCTTGATGGGGAGTTAAATCCAGCTAATCCAGAAATCGAACGTACCTTTTATCGTAAGCAAAAAAAAGCAAGAACATCATAGCAAAAACAACAAGTACCAATGACTAATCAACAAATCGAGCCAATGGTTAATCCTGTAATTCCATTAGATGCAGAGGTACAAGATGAAGGTAATATGCTACTTGTGTACTTCAAGGTACCGTTAGTTGTCCAAAGCCAATCATTGTATATCCTCCATTTGGATAGCCAAACTTCCATCTGAAAACGAATGTCATCCAACTCTTTCAGAATGGGCATCAGTTTTACGGAATGGATAATGAGAATCCACATACACGTATATCTCTATTCTTGGATATGTATCAACGCTTCAGGTATCCAAGAGTTTTAGATGATGCTATTAGGCTGAGGTTATTTTCACATACTTTACGAGATAAAGTACTCAAATGACTGGATTCACTTCTCGTTGCGAGCATAACTACTTAGAATGAGCTAGCTTTAAATTCTGTACAAAACTTTTCTCACCGGCCAACGTAGCGAGATTGAGGCATGACATATCAATATATAGTCTAGGGTGAATTTGAATCATTTAATGAGGCTTGGAATAGGTTCAAGAACATGTTATGGAAGTGCCGTCAACATGGTTTCGACAAGAAAATCCAAATTCGATCCTTTAATATAGGATGACTTCCATCTTTCAAAAGTATGGTGGATTCATCATCCAATTGCTCCATATTTACGAGAACAGTCGATGGAACATTGGAATTGTTTGAGAGAATGGTTTCTACTTCAGCCATGTGGTCCTCTGAGCAGGTAGTTCAGAAGAAATCACCAGGGTCTACGAGGTAGACAGTTACTCTGCCTTATCTGCTAAAATAGACTCTATATTTCATAAGATAAAAGAGCATATCACACTCAACAAATGCAATACAAGCATGAAAACCAAGTTGTAAAAAATGTCAAGCGAATTGCATAGTAGAATGCCCAATTATGTTACAGGAAATGGAACAGGTAGAGTATGTGCAATGGGGTTAGCGCCAACAAAACAATCTAGATTCAGATACTTACAATCCCGATTTGAGAGAGCATCCAAATTTCTCGTGCGATGGTAACCAAAATCAACTTCAAAATCATAATAGACCCTAGGGGCAATTTTAGCAAGAGAAGAGATTTTAGTTGGAAAAGATGTTAGCGAAATTCATGGAAAACACCGATAAATATATCGAAGCAAATAACTAATTCATGAGGAAAACTTAATCAACTCTCCAAAATTAGGGTGCTGCAATTAAGAACTTGGAGATGTAGGTGGGACTGATAGCACTTTCTATGACGAGAAGGACACCAGGTACTTTACCAAGCAATAATGAAGTGAATCCCAGGGAGCATGCTCAAGCAATTACTACAAAAAGTGGGGTTCAATTACCAAAAATAGATGTGAAGAGACCGGGTACAACTGAAGAAATAGTGTATTCTTCTGATGAAGAGCATAAGGACCAGACTAACCAGATTAGAGAGACATCTAACAATGGGGGTTCAAATAGATCAAGAACTAAAGAAACTGCTCCTATCAATCCATACAAGACGCAATTCATTTCCATCAGAGATTGAAGAAGCATAAGATAGATCAACAGTACATGAAATTTTTGGAGATCTTCAAGAAATTTCACACAAACATTTCATTGGCTCAGGCAATTAGCTAGATACCTGACTATGCCAAATTTTCAAAGGACATCCTATCCAACAAACGCAAGTTGGAGGAGCACAAACGGTGATGTTGATAGAGGAATGCAGCTAGAACTAAAAAAAAGTTTCCTCCAAAGCTAAAAGATCTAAGGAGTTTTACTGTACCCTGTACTATAAAAAATTGCTATTTTGAAAAAGCTTTATGTGATTTGGGTATTAGTATTAATTTGATGTCACTCTCTGTTATCAAGAAACTAGGATCAGGGGAAGCTAAGGTACCTATGGTAACTCTACGATTGGCCGAACGATCGTTTACTCATCCACCAGAAAAATTTGCTCATTAAATTTTTTTTGGTAGCAATTTAACTTTTCAAAATTTTATATGGCCAAACTATTAATGGTTGCCAAGTTTGCATTTTCGGTTGATTAAAAGTTTACCAAGATTAGTTAATTAGGGGTTTGGGATAATTGTCAAATTCTACATCTATCTTCTTAGTATTATAGATAAACATTATCCTTTGCTTCATCCTTGGCCGAGAGGAATTGGGGGGGGATGGCGCCACCTTTGTAGTGATTAAATGCATGAGGTGTTTGATAGTTAACCAAAGCTGGAGGTGTTAATTGTTAGACATGCAAGAGGTGGTGATTATCTAAGCAAGTAGGAGGTGTTCAATTGTGGCACAAGCTGGATTTAAAGTGCTGAATACATGCATGGGGTGAGGTTAATGCAAGTCCACGTGTTGGCACAAAAATCCTAGATAGTGATCCCTTGTTTTATCCATAAGTCTCCCTTGCCTTATATAAATATGAGATGTTTCCCTGCATTTTATTCCTTCCAAAACCAGAAAGTCTTTTGTAAGAGTTGGAAGAATACATAAAGAAAAAGGAAACAAAAGCCTAGCGCATTTCAACCGAAAATATTTCAAGTTTTAAGATAAGATACTTTCTATACTTAAGTGGTAGGATTTCAGGGTAATATTTATGCTTAAGCTATGCATGAAAAACCATAATATGAATGTGGTGGACAAGTCCACAAAGTTAGATATCTACTTATGCCTTAGGACAAGTCCAAAGGGCACCGGCAAGTCGGAATGTGCAAGTATGTGTTTGACTGTATTCTTTTGTGTAGTATTAACATGTTAAATTCAAGCATGGTATCTTATTGAGTATTATTTATACTCATAGTATTTTATACTAAATTTTCAGATCCATGATCGTTGGGTTGATGGAAGTCAGTTGGCATAATCGATGATGGGTTAATGACAAAGTTATTTTGCATCAAAGTTTTCTTTTGTATGTTTTGCTTGACGACTGTTTTCCTTATGTTTTCTTATGGTATTATATAAAAACATGTATATGACATGATGTAATATGGTATTAAAAAGTAAATTTTGTAATCATATCTTTCATGTTATGCTAAGAGACATTTTTATAGACTTTTTCTTGCAAGTGATAAAAGAGGCAGAAACGGGACAGTTTTTGGGTCAACTTCAAAATGCTATTTCCAACTCTATAAACATCCATTTGAGACTCTAAAAATATTGATGCGTTTCTTCTTGAGTTGCCTTAGGATGAACGCAGGAATCACTAAATTTGGATATCCGTGGCCTGA